ATCTTTTCTTCCTACATTTATAAGAATTTAATAGCAATTTACAAGTATTTGTTTGAGACTTGTGTTTTTTATTTCAATAAATAATAATTTTTTACATTAATTTTGTAATAGAACTTTTAAGAAATTATAACATTTTAAAAAAACTAAAATATCATTTATATAATTTAAAAAAATTTTAATTCATTTTTTCTTTTAGAAACACCTCATGATCTGGGCAAGCAAGCAATCTAGTGCGACGATGCGATCTAAATTTTTGTTATCGAATAACAACAGAAATTCGGAATAATTTTTGTCACAATATTTTCACGGCAGTGAAACTGCATTTTTTCAAATGAAAAAAGAAATCGTGGTTCGTAAAAAATAAATAAATAAATAAAGCAACGCATTTTGAACCGAGATCACCGTAAATAATTAGTAATTGCAAAAAAAAAAAAAAATCAGAAAAAAAATATAACGAAAAATAAGTCTTGGCAATAATAAATCGAGGGCCAGCGTTCTCCGAAAGATCCTTCGCTTGGAAGAACAATAAAATCCAAGAAGAAACGTTAACTCCCTCGACATGGCGATAGCTTAGTCTTCGGCTTCAACTTCAGATTACCAGATTTAACTTTACCGAGTGATGGGTTCAATGCCGAGTATAACTGAATGAAAATTCACAACCAAACACCCCAGGAAAAGACGCAGATATCTGCTTTTCATCGAGTCCATTCACGCTCCTTGCTAGTTTGCGGCGAAACCCCACTCTCTTCCCCTATTCTCAAAGCTCTGTGCCAATATCTTCCTTTCTCATTTTTCCATCTTTCTCTAGATCTTACCCTTCTCGCTCTATTCGGTCCACTTTCAGTTTCGGACATGTCCATTCTGGACGTGCTGACGTTTTCGGCCAAGTAAGAATTCTCCCTGCTTGTGTACAATGCACTGCGCTTCAAATCTGAAGAATATAATCTGCATCTGGACGGGATCGGCGGGATCGTTTCAACAAGTGTATTGAATCGGCTGCAATGGGTTCGAACCAGTCCGCCCAAGTAATCAAAGAGAACGACGAGGAAGAGGAAGAAGACGATGATGAGAGGAATATCAACGGTGAGAGGGATATATTGGAATCGGATAATCATTTGTTGAAGAAAGTGTTGGAGCAAGAACCGGAGATGCTACCGTGCCGTGCATCAGCATCGCCCTTGTCCCCGCAGCTTTCTTCCTTAGGAACGCCGCGGCTTGGCCCCTCCATCAAGGTCTGGGATCCTTACAATGTCCTGGCTCCGCCGCCGCCTCTGCCGCCTCCTCCAGTGTTCTCGAGGAGATTCTCCGCGAACGCAATGGATGATGACCAGACGGAGGTGTATCTGATCAGCCATGGAGAGTGTGAATTGAGTTTGAGGCCGGATTTGGTTGGGGGTAGGTGCCCTGGAGCGGCGCTGACGCCGAATGGGAAGCGTCAAGCGAGGGCTTTGGCCGTGTTTTTGAAGTCGCAGGGTGTTCGGTTCAGTGCTGTGTATTCTTCACCATTGGATCGGGCACGGTCAACGGCAGTCTCTGTCTGCAAGGTACGCATTAAACAATCTACATGTGCTCGGTTTGTGTTGAGTAATAGTTTTGAAGCGTCTTTAGGGGTAAGAAAAGAAAAAGCAATACAGTACAGAGCTGCTTTGATGGAGTCTTACAAATAAACTCTACAAAATTCTAGTTATATATATTACGCTTAATTGCCTACTCATAAGGAATTGGTAGTCTAAAAGCCATAAACCATGGGAGTGGAAGGCGATGAAGTGACATTGATTTTACAATATCGAGTATGTATGGAATGGGAAATAATAGATCATCATCGTTGCTTTATCATTGATGTGGATAGCAACTTTGCCGGTGGCCGTCCAGGGTTGATAATCTGGGTGTCGATTATATCTGTTATTTACAGCAATTGCATGTTTCACTTCCTCAAGACATCTTTCAAACGAACAGGTTAAAACCGTCTGATTAATTGTTATAATCTGTAAGAAATAAAAAATACAGAACTTGCTGTTACTGATAACTCGTGTTTGTATCAGTGACGATAGCATATTCTCTAAATTCTAATCATGAAGAATTTGCGCAGAAGTGGGCTATTGAGATTCTCATTTAGCCATAGCTTGTTCGTTTTCATCTCTAGTATATGTCAAATTATTTTTCTTCACACAGACTGTTCCATAATATGAAAAGCAGATCAATTTTCTAGTAAATATGCTCCTGGGTCGGTCTTGGTTTCTAAGCTACTACTTCGACTCACTAGCAACTCGGCAGAGAAGGGAGAAAGATAGAGTAGGAAGTGATAATGGGAAGTTTGATTGCTCATGTACAAATCGATTTTTTCGTTCAATCTCTTATTTTCACGGTGAATTGAGATGATCCATTTACCACTTTAAAATTGCACTGGAGATGACATGATGAAATGAATCTGAGATGAAAGATGTGGAAGGATTTTAAGAGAACATGTCTTGTGTTCTATATGTTGAAACCTATGCTTAAACATAATAAACTTTTGTCAATTAAAACTGACAACAAGCATCAGACACTTAAATTGATTACGTGCTTATGCTCTCATTTCTTGCTTCTAACATTGACATAAAAACACTAAAACAGTCCCTTATCATCACTGTGCTAAATATTTTCAATTACAATAAAGATGGATGCGTTTATTAGAACGTTGAAATATGAGCGGGTAAGTTTGAGATGGAATTAATGTGTTTATGAAATTGGAGATGAAAATGAAAAAAATGGTGAAAGATGTCATTGCTGTTTATTACTGTTTCTATTGATTGCTTGTTGTCCATAGATTCAAAGCAGGCTAACTGATGCAGAAATTATCATAACCTCAGAAAGTTAACATCTTTGGTGTTCAATGATAATCAACTAAGGGCATGGGATGTCTTAAATTCCTCGACAAAGTTATTTTAGACACTAACGGGCTTGAATCAGTGGTGAAGAACTGGAAGTTTGAGCAAGTCTCATTTGACTCTAGAGTCAAAACTAGGACTGAAGAACTGTGTTAGTGACCTTCTAGTTATAAGACACATACAAATATGAAATTCAGCTTTGATTGAGATGAAGTGTGTGTATAATTGTTTTGTATTGAACTTTACTTGCCTTTGGAATTTCACTTAGATGAATGCAGCATTGCTGATGAGAAATGTACATATTATGTTACGAAATTTAGTGCTTGAAATCTCATTGTACAAAGCTTCAATTGCCAGGAAGTCGATTTTTCTGAGGAACAGATTCAATCATCAGATGCTCTTGAAGAGATGAGTCAAGGGAATTGGGAGGGATGTTCTCGATCAGACATCTATACATCTGAGATTTTGAGCATAATTGATAGGTTCCAGCCAGATTTCACAGCACCGTCTGGAGAATCACTTAGACAGGTGGAATTCCGGATGATTCACTTCTTAAATGGAATCCTGGGACTGCCTGGAAAACTGAGGTTAGATCTCTCCTCACATCCAAATGAGAGCCAGGCATTTGCACAGCACAGCTCCCATTCTTTGAACAACTCCGTTCATGACCAAGACGGATCTCCTCTACATCCAACCCAATGGGATTTACTCCACAGGCATCATCGACCAGGACTATCAAGGAAAAAATCTGGTAAGAGCAGGCTACAGTTTGTGACAACCACTGGAGATGAGATTGAAGATGAAATTTCTCCTATTGAAGTGAACCACCAAACTTCCCTGCATAATTCAAGTTTCAGCAGCTTTTCGGCTCCTGTTTCACATATTGGCATCTTCACTCATTCGGTGCCAATTAAGTGTCTCCTGACAGGGCTTCTTGGATGCAGCCCTCTGATGTCACATAAGATCTGCATAGATGATTCTTCGGTGACTGTGTTGCAGCATTCTTTGAAAACTGGTTGGCGGATAAAAAGGCTCAATGACACAGCCCACCTTAGGCTTCTTTAATTAAAGGAAGTTTCATTCACAGGAACCTGAATTTCGATGTTGCTTCGATTTATACATTTAGCGTGGTTGTTGTTGCTATTCGCTTGACTTGGCAGTTCTTGTTGTAGCCTTTTAATTAATCCTGCACTAGTCGACTCCCAACAATATGATACAGGAGTTGAATTGTTGTATCAATTCTTTTGATTTGTGGCACTTGTCAAGTTGATTTTATACATCTACATGTTACATATGTAATGTACTTCCAAGGGTGAAATTTTGAAATTGAAGAGCTTTGATGAACCTTTTCCGCCCCTCCCCCCATCAGTTAGATTAAAGGATAAGATATTTTTCATGAACTATCTTATTCTTCCAGCTCTTATGAGACTGGGACCACAGGCGAGGGATGCCAGTCTAGCCCGTTGAACATGAAAAGGGCTGATTTTACACCAGGCTGTGTTGTTTACCTTCGATTTGTCACCAACTCTGTAATAGCATGTACCATGCCGAGGGGATCAGGCATTCAGTGAATGTTGTCGGGCGTTTCTCACTTGATTGGTGAACTTTCAATTAATATTGCCACATTTCCTTTCCTCTGTCGTATTCTATCCTCTCCTCCTCTCGAGAATTTTTCACTCTTCTTGTACTGTCTGTCATCTTTTGGTCCGGGAAAATCCCCCTCGTAATATTTTCAGCAATGAGAATAGATCTGAGTATGATCGTCACATGTGGGGCCCTTGTCCTGTCCACGTGACCCATGTCACATGGGGTAGCGTACTAGGCAGCAGTTCCTAGCCGACGGGTAGGGGGTCTTCTTTTCTCTCCACTTCTCCAATCTTTTACCCATCATTAATTCTATGATTAAAAAAATGATTTAATAAAATGATATGAACGATAAAGATGGGGGAAGTGAAGAGGGGGAAAGTAAAGGAGGGATCTCCTCCCCGCATCGGACCCCTCGTTTAAAAAGCAAAAGCCTTGAGCATGTGAGAGAACCTTATCTTGGCAGCATTACGTGGTGTTGGCTTATCCCCTCCGTAGGTTCAGCTTAGCGGAATCTCTTCTCTACCAAAAATAAAATAAAATAATTATGAACTGGACAATGAGACAATAGAAATACAACTCCGCCGTCTACCCCGTGATGCTCATCAAATTCACCAACACACACATTCACTCTGATGCACCATTTGCGTATCTTCCCTCACTTGTTCCCACGACTTGCTTTGCATCCTTCTGTTCAGCTCAAATCTTCTGTAACTAATGGCTTCAATGTCCCCATTTACTGTCCTCGTCTTCTTGGCTGTCTTCTTTGCCAATTCACAAGTTCTAATTTCCACTACCGATCATCCAAGAACAACTTCATCAGCTTCTCCAGCAGTTTCACCCTACGTCACTGCACCTAATATCTCATCATTCTTCCCTCGTCCAACAGGCGTCGATCATGGAACACCGAGTTCTGCAGCTTCCCCTCAGGCAGAAGCACCCGGACCGAGTTCAGGCGAATTTGTTGGGAAGATTTTTTCCAGTTCAACCAGGTTGGATTGCTCAGCTGCCATTGTTGGGATCCTGCTCATCTCTAGTTTCTTGCAAACAAGCATGGTTGTTTGAGTCTGGTGTTTTTGTATCGAGGATCGTTTTCAGTTTTCCAATAACGTACCTGCTGAAGATTTGATAAGCCCGTTTTAAGGGAGCCGTATGTTGCCAATTCAATCGAGTATTAGAAAATCAAATTTTATTTTTCTCGTTCCATCATTCCATGTTTCATAAGCTTTGAGCCTTTCAAAGCGACGGCCATATGAAAAGCCTTTTTTTTTTTTTTTAATGATACATGTATGTCTAACCACACCCCCCCCCCCGGGCGTCTTTTTGACAGGTTCAAGAGTCAGGACCGATGACTAGGATTTTTTTTTTTTGACAATCTCGTGGTCATATGTATTGCGATTTGAATTTCTTTAATTGGTCAATTGCCAAGCTAAGCGCAAGGAGAGAGATAAAATAAAGTGCAAGCGACCTCCACACTAGCAGTGCTATTTATTGAGAACTACTTTTCGATTATCTTTATAAATTATTTCTATTAATTTTATTAATATTAATATAAAAAAATATAAATACATTATAATTTATAAATAAAATTAAATAAATCTTTTAAAATGTGGTTTATAAATGAACCAGAGGGAGTACCATGCAATGCATAATATTAATCAGCTTGAAACGAATTATTAATTCAACCTTCCATTGAGGCCTCGAGGGCGCTGAGATTTGAGAACTAGAGATCTAACCAGGATAACTCATCTCTTCTGTTAAAAATAAAAGCAAAAAACCTATCCCAATACCTTTATAATTTAAAATATTGAATCAATTAATATACAACGTTTTCAATATAAAAATAAATAAAATTATCAACGACCATTTTTTATGAAAGTGTTAAGAGTGCATATATTTAATATGATAACAAATTAAAAAAATATAATCAATTACTCCCTCCTGATCATAATATAAAATATTTTTAAAACTCTTATTTAGTCTAAAACATAAGATATTGGATACCTTTTATACTCCCTTCGTTTAAAAATGTAAAGTATTTTTTGAAGAATTAATGTTTGAAAATATAAAATATTTTTAATCTTTTGAGACGTAATCATTATTTTTTTAAAAAGTACGATTAATGACTTTATATTTATTATAGGGTATTTCATAGAAGTAAATATGAAAAAATATGGTTAGTTAAAAGTAGGTAACTATTTTATTAAAAAATAAAATTTAATTAAAAATACCTTACATTTTTGAATGGAAAGAGTATTTATTTTTTCAACTATATTCTTACTTTATTTATTATTCATTTGAAAAAAATCATACATTAAAATTTTAATTATTATTATCATAACTCTTATACAGAACATTTAATGAAGATATAATTAAAAAATATGAATATTTTTAAAAAATTTAAAATTTTAACTAATATTATTGATAAACTGTAAATTAATTATGATTTATATTATCATCCTCATGGAGTATGTGATAGTAATTTTATAATTTTCTTGTGTTTAGAGCCTTTGTCAATGGCTGATAGTACTTTTACACGACGCTACAAAAATCAACGTACAAGTTACAATTCAAAAATTTCCTGCTGAGGAAAATACAAAGAGAAGTGATCTCAAATTATCAAATTACAAGTTTGTTTTCGGCTGCTTGTGATGCGGCAAAATTTCCTTTCATAATCCTCTGTTCGTCTCAAAACCTACAAGCAGCGGGCGAACCGTCGATGTGCAGTCCCAGACCCAGCAACTAGACATTTTCGGATTGCAAACTAGAAGCCTTACATTGACAAAAGTAACAAGACACCTGGTAATTCAATTACACGAATGAATGAAGATATCAGTATACGATTCATTTCTACTCAGTTTTCGTTGCGGGGTTTACAGGAAAAAACACTCGAGTTCGATCAACGCCAACCTTACGACCTGGTTCAACAAATATGTTGACCAAACAAGCGTCTCATCATGGAACACAGTCATTGCTGATTTCGCTCGAAGCGGCGATTCCGTTGAAGCTCTTCGAGCCTTCTCGTCCATCCGAAAGCTCGCTCTGCACCCGAATCGTTCTACCTTCCCATGTGCCGTTAAATCCTGCTCCGCCCTTTTTGATCTTCACGCGGGCAAGCAAATTCATCAACAAGCTTTAATCTTTGGCTTTGAATCGGACCTTTTTGTGTCCTCCTCTCTCATTGACATGTACTCCAAGTGCGGCGAGTTGAAGGATGCAAGAACACTGTTTGATGAAATTCCCATGAGAAACGTGGTCTCTTGGACGTCCATGATTGTTGGTTACGTCCAAAATGACAATGCCCACGAAGCAATATGCTTGTTTAAAGAATTACTGGTTGAAAAGAGAGAGAATGTGGTGGACCAAGAAGTTTTGGTTGATTCGATCGCTGTGGCTTCGGTTTTATCAGCTTGTTCTCGGGTAGGCTCGAAGAGAATGACCGAAGTGGCTCATGGCTTAGTGATAAAATGGGGCTTTGTGGGGTATTCAGGGATCTGCAATACTTTGATGGATGCATATGCCAAATGCGGCGAGCTAGATATGTCGAGGCAAGTGTTTGACGGGATGGGTGAAAAGGATGCTGTTTCTTGGAACTCTATGATTGCTGAATATGCACGAAATGGATTGTCTGACGAGGCATTGCAAATTTTTAGTGACATGGTAAAACGCGGCAATGTCATCTACAACGCTGTGACATTATCTGCTGTATTGCTAGCCTGTGCACATTCAGGATCTCTACGAGTCGGGAAGTGCATGCATGATCAGGTGCACAGTTTTTTTTTTTTTCTTTTTTTTTTTTGCCCATTTATTTATTGCCGGTTAATTCCAGCTTGTTCATATATGAAATATTCTGTAATCATTCATCAAGTTTTTGTCCAAGTAATTTGCTTCTACGCTCTTTTCAATCATACCATCCATTGTCTTCTATTTTAGGTAATAAAGATGGCTTTGGAAGACGATGTGTTTGTAGGTACCTCTATTATTGACATGTATTGCAAATGTGGGAGGGTTGATATGGCTAGGAAGGCATTTGATCGCATGAGAGAGAAGAATATTAAGTCATGGACTGCTATGATCACTGGTTATGGAATGCATGGCTATGGGAAAGATGCCATGGAAGTCTTCTACAAGATGATAAGGTCTGGAGTCAAACCAAATTACGTTACTTTTGTGTCAGTGTTGACTGCTTGCAGCCACGCTGGTCTTTTGGAAGAAGGCTGGCATTGGTTTAATAGAATGTACCATGACTTTAATGTTTCACCTGGGATTGAGCATTACTCATGCATGGTTGATCTCCTTGGGCGGGCTGGTTATCTTAATGAGGCCTATGGTTTGATAAAGGAAATGAAGGTGAGGCCTGATTTTATAATCTGGGGTTCCCTTCTTGGAGCTTGCAGGATTCACAAGAACGTAGAGCTAGGGGAGATCTCTGCAAGAAAATTATTTGAGTTAGACTCAAGTAATTGTGGGTACTTCGTGCTACTCTCCAATATTTATGCTGATGCTGGAAGGTGGGAAGATGTTGAGAGGATGAGAATAATCATGAAGAGATATGGATTACTTAAAACCCCTGGGTTCAGTCTAGTTGAACTTCAAGGTAGGGTACATGTATTTTTAGTTGGGGACAAAGAGCATCCTCAGCATAAGAAGCTTTATGAATATTTGGACAAACTGAATATAAAGCTGCGAGAATTAGGCTATGTACCAAATGTAACGTCAGTTCTTCATGATGTAGATGAAGAAGAGAAAGGAATGGTTCTAAGAGTTCACAGTGAGAAACTAGCTGTTGCCTTCGGAATCATAAATTCAGTTCCTGGTACAGCAATCCAGGTGATAAAAAACCTTCGGGTTTGCAGTGACTGCCATACTGTAATTAAGTTGATCTCCAAAATAGTCAATAGGGAAATTGTGGTAAGAGATGCTAAGCGATTTCATCATTTTAAGGATGGGCTATGTTCATGTGGAGATTACTGGTGACTGATAATGAAGGGAATAGGAATATTTGCTGTTGTTTCTCTCCATCATCGACGCTTGAACAGAAGCATAGTGCAGATGCCTTTATATTTACTTCGTAATGGCACTCATCTAAATTGCAAAGACCAATCAATTTGTTAAGGACTGGTCGGAGAATCAGATGCTTTGAATAACCGTGGTTTTAAAGCTAGTTTTTCCAGATGGCTGGCTTCCAATTCATAGATATATAACTATAAGGTCTTGGTACCAATGATACATTGCGTGTATGTGTAACTAAGTACAGGGTCTTCCAAAGGGTAGAATTTTATTGCTAACTCGTCATTCATTTATGTTGAAATCATCGCCAAAAACCAGAAAATTTTGTAGTAAACTATAATGCCCTCAATACCACGAATGGTTATTTGCTTGTGGGAAAATTGGTGAAGTTCTTCTAGAATATATCATAACCATTTTGTTGCTTGGAACAAGATATCATGGAGAACAGCCTCTGAAGAGCTTGCTCACCGATATTCCTCCACGTCTTGAAGTCTGTGGTTGGTCATGTTCTGAATCAGCGTTTGAGTATCTGGAAGAAATCTGAAGGACCTCGTTCTCGCGTTTCAATGCTTCAATCTCTAATTGGAGCTTTTTAATGGTTTCCCTCTTCTCATCATTTCTTCTCACCAACTCTACCAGCTGTTGCAGATTATCCTCTACAAGTTGTGTAATTTGAAAATCTAGGCCGGACCATATTTTGCCAAATCTGCAACGACTCATTGATGGATCGTCAATCGTTTGACTTGATTCGAGGCCCTCAATCTCCGTAAGGAAGTTTTCGTTGGTGGAAGAATCGGTCATTATTTCTTCTTCTAGAGTGCCTTTGCATTCTAATCCTGCTTTACAGATCACGCTGCTTGGCTTAACAGCTGATATCAGTCCATGAACACCTTCTAGCCTTTTCATTTGCCCATAATTAAGGTCTGTACCATCAAATTTTATATCAGGACCTTTGACGATAGATTTTAGATGACATTTGAAGCCATCCTCGAGGTTTCGGCCTCGTATGTTGCTTGTTGCTTTTTCATTGCAGCTAGCACAGAGGGTTATTTTTTTATTAGAAAATGAAGAGGACTCTGAATGAGAAGTATTGGATGTTTCAGACTTCAATTGGTCATATGCTGTGGCTAAAGCCTGGTAAGATTTGCTTAACCCTTCGATCATCTGTTTGAGATCTTTTCTCCCTTTCTGATGCATGTCAGCTCCTTGATCTGAACAATGGTCCTCTTTTAAAATGGTCACGATGGCCTTCATTTTCTCATCCAAATCTACAAATTAGTCAAAAATATTGGAATTTGTGAATGGAAAATGCTGGAGAACAAGGATCTTGTGAGAGAGAAATAATTTGTTGCCTTTTTGTCAACTCTTACAAGTTCCAGCTTGGTGGGCAAACCTAGAGATAGGGTTGGGAGGAGTCTCCTTATGGAGAAGATTAGAGAGGTTCAAAGTTCAAAGAAGCCCAATTGTTTTATGTTTAATGGCTTGATTGTCTTTTGCTCTTTATATGATTAAATTTCATAATACATCATTTACAGTTAACTTTTTTGGAAATTTACCCGCAAGCAGCTTTTGGGTGTGATTTTCTGGACCAAAACAGTTTCTAGTAGAATTGATTGACTTCAAATATTTTGGCTGTAGGCTCTAGCATACGACAAAGTTCAAACCCAACCACCCTCACCCACCCTTGCATGGTTTTAATGGCCTAGACGAAGTCAAAGTACAACAGCACATATATTGTACCAAGAGTGGGAAGAGAATATTTTACAAAACCGAACGACTTTATTATAAAAATAATTTCAAAGAAAAAGTGCATGCTGTGAAAGCGTGTGTGTGTGTGTGTGAGAGAGAGAGAGAGAGAGACCTGATATAGTTGCTTAGAATTATTCTGACCCATGTTCCATTTACTTAAATAAGAAGATTAGTTTCACCAAAACAAAAAAAGAGGAAGATTTGTTAATAAATGTAAATATGACGATATTAAATGATTTTTTGGCGAATCACATGGGGAAGGAACTGGTTCATTTTCATGTGCTACATAGAGAATTCCCTCTGTCTCGGTTTTTTTGGGCATGCGCTTTTTTTCTTTTTTGCCCACGGAAGAATTATATTAAAATTAACTAAAAAGTTTGAAATGCAAACAGAATCAAAACAGTACATGAACTAAAAAAAAAACAATTAGTCATGATCAAAATTTTAAGCACGAATTGACTCTGACTGTAAAGGAATTAGAGATATCAGAACTCGATCAATTGGATACAATCCTTTCAATGAAGCAGGAGCAGTCTAGTTAACAATCCAATTAGCTCTCCTGGTAATTCAAATCAATTGGCAATTCTGTCATAAAATGATGCTTTCACCCCCTACGAAGTTACTACACCTTTTTTATTTTTAAGAAACATGTAATTCATATTACAAGAATTACAAGAATTTTGAAGCATGTATTCACCGCACATAATGAAGCATGCTTGAATATTCCTGTAGGTGTTGTTATAAATTAATGGTACTATTGGAATCATTAGCAGTATTGATATTATAAATTTGAGCTTTTTTATTAGGGTAAATGATAGCAAGTATGTTGGCAATAGTTAGTGAAATAATAGCTTGAGTTGTGTCCAAGGACATTGTTCTTAAGAGCAATTTCGCCACACCGGATTGATCATGTAGCAACTTTTCAGGATTAATAGGCTCTTCCTATTAAAAATAGGGACACAGAACAACATAAATTCACACAATATACTCAAGTACTTGCACAATGAACTGATATGATAGAAGAGAAGATAAAGGTCAAGAGTACTAAAGCTTTCTTTGAACTTGTGGCAAACATTGCTCTCAAGATTGTCGGCAATAGCTAGTGAAATCTAATATGGATCGTACCCAAAGATACTGTTCTTAAGAGCAATTTCGCCACATCGGGTTGATCACGCGACAACTTTTCAGGATTAAACAAGCTCTTCCTACTAAAAGTAGGGACACAGAATAACAGAAATTCACATAACATACTCAGATACTTGCACAATGAACTAGCATGATAGAAGAGAAGAGAAAGGCCGAAAGTACTATGGCTCTCCCTGAACCTGTGGTAAGCATTACTTTTTATAAGCAGATCTCATAATGCTGAGCAATAAAACCATCTTAATCACAATTAAAAAATGATTTTAAATAATAATGTTGTTTAAATTATATGTTATAAAATAATAAATAGACTTAAATAATAATTCATGTTATTAATTTATAATAATTCCTTTTGAAATACTAAAAAATATTTATAATATCTAACAATCCCTATATATTTCAAAAGGAAAGAAAATTTTTTTAAAAAATTATTTTATACAAATAATTTATAACTTTATATAATAGTTTTCAAAACTTTAGAAAAAATGCCCAATTTATTTGATATCACATTTAGCTCACGCGTAAGTACTTGCATTTAAATGAGTCAACTTTTTTTCTAAGCTCATTTATTTGTCCAAATTCATACCTTAATATATATTGTTAAGGTCTTCATTTATTTAAACAATATGAAACTTTTTTTTTTTTTCGGACACAATTTCAACAAAGTAATCAAAAGAAAGGTGATGAATGGAACGTGGATGTTAATCTCTGACAAAGTTCCAGTCTGTTTTGAAACCATGCAATCATGTAGCTGCGTGGAAAAGGAGAAGTGCGAGGTTACACAGATCTTACAAAATCACTTGGCATGGTGTCCAAGCGGGGCGATAAGATTGCTTTACACAAAATTTATGTAATGGAAATGTGCGTGGTATTTTTCAAAAATATATCCTAACACAATATGGTAAATAATAAGGATAATTTAAAATAAAAGTCGTGAATATAACATAATTATTAATTAATTTTTAAAAAATTAAAATTTTAGTTCAATTCAAGAGATGAAAGTGAAAATAATTTAAACTGTAAAAAGATTAAAATATTTTTTACTTGTTATATAAAATTACTAGTTATTAATTTTTTTACTTTACTTATTAATTTACTAATATGAGTTAAAAATTTTATGAGTTGACATATCAATAATTATATAAAACTTGATATCAGTTATTCAATCATAAGCAGCAACATTAATTATTAAATTGCTAACTTTACTTGTTAGTTTACTACTTATAATTTACAACTGATATTAATAAATTAATAATTAAAATTAATAAATTGACAGTTAATATTACTACTTGTCTGACAAATAAATCTAAGTTACAAGTGATATTGATTAATTAATAAGTAAAATAAAAAAATTAATAAATAATGATTCTGCATGATAAGTGAATGATATTTTAATTTTTTTATAATTTTAACCTGAACTAAAATAAAATTTCAGAATTTTTTTTATATCTACTAATAATTACTATGTCACATCCCTAATTTTTATTTAAAATTCTTCTTAAATAATAATTAAAACTCGGTCAAGTGGCGTAGTATGGGAGGGAGGAGCAGGTTGGAGAGGCGAGGGGCTGAACCTGAATTGATCTTCCCAAGACGTGGAGGGGAAATAGGCCCCAGCCGCAGCTTGCTGGGTCTTCAGTATCAAACCCTCTTTTATAATCCCTATCATTGCCACCTAGTCGCCTTTTAATTACAGCTTCACCCCTCCTTCCCTTTGATTTTGCAGTGGCATCGTATGATTCTTCCCGCAGAACTCGGCGTTGCAATGCAAACAAAATTAAAGCGACAAATTTTTTGTAAAAATAAATATTTAATTTCTATAAATATTTACTTTGCTTTTAAATCTAATGTTTCCTTTTGGTAATTTTCTTCGCATTTATAACTCATTTGTAACTAATTAACAGCACTAATAAACTTGTTTATAGCATATTATTGTATCAAAAAATATGACATCTTTTTAAAGTCATTCTAAATTGTAAGTGATTAATTCTAACATAATCTCACTCATCTCTATGAAAAAAATATAACATCTTTTTAAAGCCATTCTAATTAATCATCATATTCCTTTGCTCTTATTTATAAATTATTTTTAACATATTTTACCAACACAAAAAAAAAGTTCTCAATTTTATCTTTATTAAATATATATACTTTAATAATATATTTTTTTTTTAACATTCAATAAAGGATAAAATAAAAAATTTATAATAAAAATTTAATGATATAATTTATAAATAATATTTAAAATTTTTTTTTCACTCTATTTTGCAAATAAAATTAGAAAGGGTATTCTTATTTAAATGTAAAAGTCTCTATTTTCGGACATTTTCAAAGAAATTCAAGGGGATGACTCCAAGACAGCCGCTTTTTGCCTTACATTTATTTAACCCCAAGCAGAACAGTGTCAAGACGGTAATTATAAGCACAAAAGGAGGCCATTTGATGTGGAACAAACTCTACAAATAAACACGCGAGGGTTGGCCATTGGTGGGTAGGCCGGAAGAGGAAGCAAGCACCAGAAAGCGTCTGGCAGCCAGAGGTTGGGAGCGTGTCTCTCTGTGGCATTGATTCGAAGTCTCCGGCGCACCCTCCCTTCCTCATTCGTCGGTCCTCCTCCATGGCTCTCCCAGAGACCTCACGCCGTAACTCTCTGATCCCTACCTTCCTCTACTCTCCCTCCTCCCCCAAAACCTTGCATCTCCAGAACATGCTCAGCTCTACCTCCGCCGCCGGCTCTTCTTCGGCTTCCAATATCGAAGTCGGATCGCCCAGGCCCAACTTCATGATTCCCACTCCAAGTGAGCCTGGTAAGATCCAGATGTACTCGCCTGCCTTCTATACTGCTTGTACTTTCGGTGGAATCCTCAGCTGTGGTCTCACTCACATGGCGGTTACACCTCTTGACCTTGTCAAGTGTAATATGCAGGTCCTTTTCTCTCTCGATCTGGCATTTTTTATGAAATCAACACTTAACAGTGCTTTTGCTTGGTTATTCTTTGCTCTACAAGCACTATGTTTCCCGATGAATTGGATCTGCGCTTTGTACTTAACTTACCTCTGATTGTTATTCTTTTTTGAGCATTTGAGAACTTTTGTGCTCATTGGACCGATCTGCGAATTGTGATCGTTGCGTTGGATTGAATGATCCCTTTCTTTATGTCAGATTTGTTTATTGATTTTCTTCTATTTCCTCCCAAAATTTGGGGGTCACCGTTGGT